CCGCCTCCCTCCCCACCCCCACACATACTCAGCCTTCTCTCTTGGAGTCTATGTGAGACCTCCGGGGGCTATGATTCCAGCCATTGATTCAACAGCATTTACTAAATGTTCACTTTGTAATAAGGCACTCACTATAGGACAGGATGTTTATGCTTAAGAAAAAAATTACAAAAATGCGGTCCTTGTTTTTAAGGCGGCTTCAAAATTCTTCACTATGCCACCCATTTTCCAGTTCCATAACATCCTCGCTTCCTGTCTGTAACAGTCCTTCCCAGTGTCTTTGTCACTGCTAGGCATTCCTGTCTCAGCAGCGAGAGTGGGTATGGGGCTTGGGGAACGGTTTCCAGTGCACCGCCTAGTGCAGGTGTAAAGGATGCCGCTGGAGCATTCTGGGAAACTCCTCAGGGAAGAGTGATTCTCACGTTATTTTGGCCGACTGCCTATGGTAAAAATGTGTTTTATGTTAAAAACTTTCAATGGCACAACATTTTATGTCACAGTACTGACTCTGCTGTTTGTAATACACTCTGATACCTTCTAAGCAATTCTATTTCCTTTAAAACATGCTGTTTGCACCCAGCAGTTTCAAAAATATTCATTTATACAACCACGAAAAGAAGCGGCAATCATAATTTCCTTTTGGAACTAAGGAGTAAGCCGAAAAATTAAAAACAACTTGGGTTGACCAAGCTTGGCCACACCCAAGGGGCTCCGATGTCCCAGCAGCATGATCCCTGACCAGGCAGGGTCCACACTGGGAGAGCAGTTTACTGCCCAAACCTGCCAGTTAGCTGATGAAAGGAACTGGGAAACTGCCTGGGAGAGAAACAGCAACAGAGGAGCCGGGCTCTGTGCTCAAGGGCTTACTCGTCTAAGATAATTTGGTCCACTGTAAGGGATGTCTTTAAGAGTGATAAAGTAACAACAGTATTTTCCACAATAGTTAACACTTAAACAGCATCTTATGTTCCAGGCTCTCTTCTAAGTGTTTTGCACTTTAGTACGGGTAAAATGTGGTCCTCACCACACTGCCCCCATTTTCCAGACAGAAACCCTGAGGCTCCCTTAGGAACCTGATCAGAGCCTCACAGCCCCAAGTGGCCAAGGACTGATTCTGAGCCCTCCCTCCCTAGTCAGGAACGTGTGCACCATGGTCAAGTATGGTCTGAATGCCCCAGGACCAGTTCTAGTTCTTGAGGAAGAGGCGAGCACCCTCCCCAGGGCCTGAGAAACAACAGAGAGAGCCCAACAAAGAGAGACACAAAATGAAAACAAATACGCAGTTCTCGAAAGCTGGGGCTGAGGGTGCAACCGAAACGTGGAGAAGCAGACAGAGGCAGTGGAGGGAAGGTGTGGTGTCAGGCCCCGGGGCTGGGGTGAGAGACGAAGCGAGCGGGAAACGACGCAGGTGTGTGAAGGACGCAGCCAGGTAGGTGCCAGTGCGCCCGTGTTGGGCCTGGCGTCCTCGGAGGGCGGCGGGAGGGTGTGGCAGGTATGTAGGGCCAGAACCCAGACGCTGCTCTTCCAACAAAGGGAGCTTAGAATTGGATGGAACCTAAAAACTCAGAGGAGGAAAAAGCCAAGGAAAGCAATAATTAGGAAATAATTTTCTGAGAAAATACATTATTGGAACAAAAGCAAAAAAAATAAAATAAAATAAATCGAGTCCTATTCAATGGGAAAATCATTTGAAAATTCAGCATCTAAAGGCAAGATGACAGTGAAGAAGGCGTCCTGGCTGGGTGGGACAAGCAGAGCTGGTTTCTGCTGAGGATCACGGAGAAGGTGTTAAAGACGGGCTCTCCGCCGCCCGCCCGGCCCGCCAGCCGAGCACCACCTACCTTGCACAATGAGGTGGACCCGCGAGGTCTTGGGGTGGTTGTCGGTCTGCACGGAGCAGGTGTAGGGGCCCTCGTCATACACGTCCACGTTCTGGATCTCGATGCTGTACTGGGTTTGGGTGTTGCTCAGGAGAACCACACGCGGGTCCAGGCACCACTTGTCGTTCCCTGCGTAGAGGATGGTGCTGCGGTTTAGCCAGGCCACCCGGGTGACCCGGTTGTCAATCGTGCATCTGCAGGGAAGAGCAGATGGAGAAGTCAGAGACAGCGGGAGCCGTCAGAGCGGGGTTTGAGGCAAGGGTAGGATGCGTTTTTGTGCCTTGGCATCACTCCCTGCCCCCAGTATATACACATGCATTTCCTGTCGGGTGGCACTTTCTGGGATTGCCTGCAGGGGTCTTATGGAATTACAGCCTGACAGCATAGGATATCTCCGACTTCTGGGTCTTGCTCAGTTCAGTGCTTCTGAAGCCACCTGAGCCCAGGACTACTGCAATGGTCCTACCACTCAGTTATAATCTGAGGCGTCTTCCACGCCAGAATGGCGGGGACCTTCCTGCACAGCCAGCCCTCCTTCTGCTCCTAGTGTCCCAGGTGTGCTAAGTCATTCAACGCTACAGAGACCCTATGAGGAAGGCTCCACTGGCAAAAGAAATCGAAGAACAGAGAAACTAAATGCTGCCCCAAGTCACACAGATAATATGTGCTGGACCAGAGGCCCAGGTTGTAACTACTAAACGTCCTTTCTCACCACAGAACAGCAAATTCTGACAGAAGGCTTCTGAAGTCAAAGCTAAACAGGGGCCACCACCATCGCTACTTATCTTCATTACATTCGAAGGCAGAAATGTTCAATTATTGCTAGACTAAAGGCTTTTTCCCAGATCTCAACACTGGCTGCACATGTAAAAATAGATGTCCTTTCTTTCATTTTTGCATCTGGAGTCCCTAAGATGTGGCAGCTCCCTTCTCTTTTCCTACGCTTTAAAATGTCCCAGCTACTTGCCAAGTCCTCATTGCGTCTCTGTCTGCATTCATTTCCTTCCCTCACTACACCAACTTTGTCCTATGGCCTTGGGCTAAATTCACAGACAGCATCCTGATCCCAACTGTAATGCTGGAAATAGCAACGTAGCACAGTGTGTATAACGGTGCCTCAGATTTATATATTTCTTTGCAGTGTGAAAAGTACTCTTACATCCACACTGTCTCATTAGATTTCTGCAATAAATCTCTGGCAAAGATGATGTTGCCCCCCCCCCCCCTTTAAAGATTGGACTCCGGGGTTGGGAATGGTCTGGTGACTGGCCCCAGGTTAAAGAGCTCGGAGGGGCAGTCAGGCTTCTCAGCCAGGTTGTCTGATTCCTGCTCCTGTGTGCTCTCGGATGCAAAGGTGGGTTTTTCAGTGGGAGGCACAACTGCTTCCACTGAATCCTCAAAGTGGTCTGTGACCATAAATAGCCTAAGAAGTGCTGCTGAGCACGCCGGCTTCCTAGGCGGTCCCTCTCAAGAGGAGGTATCCGCACCACGCACCCTTTCGGCTTGTACTTGTGTAAATGTCACACGATCGAGGCAGGGCCACTCAGGCGCAGGTGGGGAGCCTTGCTGGGAGCTCCCGCAGAGAAAACTGCTCAGCCAGAAGCGCCTGGGCTTGGCTGTCCAGCAGGCTCTGTGCTGTTCGCTGTGCTTCCCCAGCAACACAGGATGGAGACAGCAGAAGACCTAACGAGCAAGCGATCAGGGGAGTGTTTCTGAAAATGGGCATGGACCACCTGGGCCAGGGTCACAGGAGGAGTTTGTTACAGATTCTCTTCTCATACTGACTCAGAGCACTTGGGCACTCCAAAATATGAATTTCTAACAATATCCTAGTTAAGTCATATCCTCACCAAAGTTTGAAAAACCCGGTAGAGAGCAGTGGATCCCCATGACCAGCTGCACCCTTTGTGGGGTTTGGAGCAAAATGTAAGCACAGAGCACTTCGGTGGAGAATTCTTAACAATGTCACGGGGGAGACGGCAGAGTATGTGACGGAGGGCAGGGCCTTCCTTCTGAGTGCAGGGCCCTGTGTGAATAAGACACGTCCTAGGTGGTTCCCAGACTTTGCTATGCTTATGAATCTCCTTGGGATCTTACTGAGATGCACACTGTGCTCTGGTAGGTTTGGGGTGGGGCCTGGGGGTCTGAATTTAGTAATCCCCCAGGTGATATGCAAGCTGATGACCTTAGATCATCTCTTTAGTAGAGTGAATCCAGAGGAGAATCGCACACAGGTTAGGGTCTGAGAGCAGAGTGAGAGCCTCACTATATAAAATGTAGTCAGAAATCATCAATGAAAAGCGTGTTGGAAATGCAGAATTTCAGGCCTCAGTACAGACTTAATGCACTCAAATGGGTGTTTTAGTAAGGGGCCTAGGATGCACATGAGGTTTGGACAGGTCTGCAGTATGCTCTCAGACTCCCTTTGGGCTTTGCTGACAATACACAAGAACAGCTGGGCTGACAGCTGGGCCCTTGCCTACACCTTCCTGCAGANCTCTCAGACTCCCTTTGGGCTTTGCTGACAATACACAAGAACAGCTGGGCCCTTGCCTACACCTTCCTGCAGACCAGACACTCCCCTCCAGGCTACTCACCTGAAATGTGGGTTTGAGACCACATTGCTTTGAAATCCCTTAGAATAACACCCTACACAGCTGGCTTTGTTAGGATGCACTTGGGATGTTATTTGTATCAATGACCTTAAAGAAGGCCCCTACTCTCAGTTTTGCTGGGATTCAAGCAGGAAAGTGGGTGCAATTCATGTTCATGGCCAATGCTATTGAACACGCATTACTCTCTGCTCAGTAGGAGCAAGCCTATTACATATACTATCTTATGATCTCAAAACATTTTTTGGGTTCACTTATCACTGCCAATTACAAACAGGGTTAACCGAGGCTACGAAATATCCAAATTCGTTAAGATCACACCAAGATTAAGCAGCAGAACCAAGATTCAGAACCGGGGTTTTTCTTGTTGCTGTTCTTTTGTTTTTTCCTCAAATGCAGTGTTCTTGAATGTCCTTATCAGACCTCCCCAAAGGCTCTGCCACATTTAAATTCAACGTGCATGGGACTCACCAGGAAGCCCTGATGAATACAGATTCTGGGACCCGACCTGGTCTGGCAACCGCACTTTAAAACTATTAATTTAGACATCTGGTTTCTGTGGAAACCAGAGCTGCAGAGCGTGTGGGCACCAGGAAATGAGTCTTGTTTGAAACTGTTTTCCATTACTTTGCAGGGGAGAACTTTCTGATAACCAACTTGTTCTGGGGGGCAGAGCCCTGGTTATTTTCCCTCCAACAGCTGAAGATCTGAGCCGATGCCAGGGGAATGGCCGTGGCGCAGGAGTGATCACCAGCCTCTAAACTGCTCGAATCCTTGTTTTTGATGCCTGCAGTAGGGACACCTCGCAGCCTCCTGCTGAGTGTGGAGGACAGTCCTGGGCTTCCCCGTGAGTGTCTAATTACTGGAAATCGACTGGTACCGAGCAGCATCCCCACGCCGCACTGCGTTCCCAGGGCCAAAGATGCTCATTTGCAGACAAGCTCGCGCTCCGAACGCAGCCAATTTTCAGCGCGGTTATGCGGCCCCTGTGATATACTACACTGACACGTTGGCGGAGCTTCAGCTGTGGTTTGGACACATCCAAGGTCATGTTTAGATGTCCAAACTGTCGCTGCAGGAGATCAGTCTTGCTGAGTCTCCCCGGCATTAGCGCTGGCTTCTGTGGAGATGGATCACAAGGGGAACTTGGCCGCCAGCTCCTGTCACCTCCTCGTACCTGCCCCCATCTATCTGTCTCATTTATCGAGTCTCCACAACAATGCAGAGGAGACAATTCTCCAAGGTTTAAAAAAAAAGCAACATGAGCATAATGGTCTCTCAGCCAGAGCCAGGGCTGTGGTGGGTGGGGAGTCAGGAGCAGATGGGGCTGAGAAGTCAGTCCACAAGCTCGGTTTCTTACAGAGACTGCCCTTAACACAGTTCTGTGAAACAACTCCTAAAACACACTGTGTGTTTCATCTGCTTCAGGAAGATGATTAGCTGGAAGTAGGAAGGTTTCAAACTTAACTGTCCCCGACTAACCCGGGGGAGTGTGGCTGGAGGTGGCCACTTGTCATCAGGGAACTAGTCACAGGTCAGCATGAGGCAGCCAGGAGGAGCACTGGAGAAACAGAGGGCTGGAAATGCCCTGCCCAAACCTCGGAGGTCTCTCATCTTGCCCCACAATCTGGAGATGCACTAAGCTTCCACCCCGAGCATCATCTCCACCCATTGTGCCACACATGCAGAACACAGAGAGACCACTGCACCCTTGGGTCTTCTGGGTGTAGACCTGGGACTCACAAATCCCCAAACTTGAAACATGCCTCAACCCTGAAAGCTTCCGTCCCCCAACCTCAGTGCTGCCCTCAGTTACTCACACCCCACCCAGCCTTTCAGGCAGTGGCCCTGGGCCTTCGGTGGTTGCGGGCGTGGCCTTCCCCTCTCACCAAGCCTGCAGCCCACCCCTCCTGTGTGAGCCCAGGGATAGCCAGTGGCCTGACCTAGGCATCATCCTGGCAGAATCCAGACAGACAGACAGTCAGAACAGACAGAGCCTGGGAGGGACTCCTTACCGTTTCCCTGCTGAGCCACAGTTCCCTTCTCTGCCTGTGTGTCTGTCTGCACTCTGTTCATTTTCCTGGAGAAGTTTCTTCTTAGAAAGAAAGGCTGCTGTACTTGTACAGATTATCAAAATGTCCAGCCTGCATGGGTCATTAATGCATTTTCTTTGATGATTAAAAGGCTCATGTGTAGTTGACCAGAGAGGACCAGCCACAGTGCCCATGCTGGACCTGGCACCTGAGTGCAGCACATGGTGGAAAAAGCTGCCACACCTGCAATTGTCTGTAGCTGTGCCAACTGTGCCCACACTCTACGATGCCACCCTCTGTGCCCTTACCCTCCTGCTGATGGATAGTGACTACACTTACCCATTTATACATAGAGGAATAGCTAAAAATGCTACAGAGGTAAAACCACGAAAGCATGGACTCAGGGACTGGAGCTACTTTGGGTTTGAGAGGAGATGAGAGTGAGATGGAGACAGAGAGAGAGATAAGTGAGAGAGAGTGAGAAAAAGAGCTGGAAATTTAAAGAAAAAGAGAGAGAACTTATATGTGTGCTTGGACTCTTCTAAAGGT